TCTGACTTATAGTTGCGAAATAACTATTACAATCCGGTATTGTAATATCATAAAATAACACCGTAAAAAGTGTTACTTTTGTGTTCAACATTTTACTATAAAATCTGAAAACATTTCATATGTTTTGACTTTTTATAATTTTCGGCGTTTCGAGCTGTATTGCTGTACTTGTGGTGAAGCACCCGTGCAGTAGTCGTATTTTTTTTTTTATAGAATAAGGTTGACAAACGACAATCACATGTCGTTAAAACAGTCCACCTGATTGTAAATGGATGATGTGGCCCATAGACATTTATCCACAATTAAGGATCAAAATGCAGATGTGTTCTTAACCCTGAGGACTAAGATGCGTATTTCAATTAAAAAGGGTCTCCGGTTAGTTCTCTACACTCACCATATGAAAGACTAGCATTAAGCTGCTATTTTACGCTGGTATTCTGTGAGAGCGCCGTCCTTCCCCGTTCGAGCCGACAAATTCATGCTACAACCATAATATAGCTGGAGAATAAATACCACGAATTTTTTTTTGATTTATAAAAATATACCATACATATTATATGTCGTACATTTGGGAAATTTTATCATTTCCGAGTAAGCTGTGGAGCAGGAAGTGTCAGCTGAGCTACTCCAGACATGACTTTAAAATATTCGAAACTTCTTTCAATATGCACGTGATTGCATCGCGTACTATCAAATTCACGATGAGCTCTCATCCCAGCGTAACCTCCGCATAATTTTCAGGTAAAGCAAAGTAATTTTTTTAATATTTTATTTATTATAGTTTTTTATATATAAACTAAAACTAATAACTTAATTATCATTTTCTTTAAATAACAAGACAAGGTGACAAACGAGCACACAATCCACCTGATGGTAAGTGGTTGCTGTGACCAATAGATATCCACATCTATCCTCAATAAAGAATCAAAATGCAGATGCGTTGTCACCCGTGAGGACTAAGATGGAATGCCTCTTTTTCAGGAAAAAGAGTCGCCGGTTCTCTACAGTCACCATGCGAAACACAGCAGTGTTAAGCTGCTATTTTACGCCGGTATTCTCTGAGAATACAGTGCTACTCCCCGTGGTATCGTGCCAAGAACGCTGGCTGCGTTTCGCCGCTGAATGGCTATTCTTAGCCTTTGAGAGAGAAAAGAACCAGTCCTCTTATCACCAGCAGCAACGAAAAATTAATGAATGAAAATAATTACTAAAATCACTCACTTCAAAATATCTTCTTCATCAACCCGCTATTGCACTGTCGTTGTAGGAAGGATTTACCTTAACCGTCACGCTTGGCTGGCCACCCCAGTCTTCAAAGGTGAGAGCGCATCTGTATCTGTTTACGTGGTACTGCCACTCTGCAGCTACATTATGGTTGTAGCGCGAATGGATCGACTCGTTTGGGATAGCACCACGCTCTCACAGAATACCGGCGTAAAATAGCAGCTTAATGCTGCTGTGTTTCGTATGGTGAGTGTGGAGAGCCGGAGACCCTTTTTACTGGAAACGAGGCATTCCATCTCAGTCCTCAGGGGTGACAATGCATCTGCATTTTGATTCTTAATTGAAGCTAAATGTAGATGTCTGTAGGCCGCAGCATACACTTACCATCAGGTGGACTGTGTGCTCGTTTGTCATCCTTATTCTATATAATAAGTCTTTTTTGTTTTAAGTTAGTTTCAGGTGTCCATGGACTGCAGTAGCAACTTAGAATCAAGTCTGTAAGTTCGTTTCTTACTTCAATTTACATAAAAAAGCAGTTCTTGGGATTATTGGAACGAAGTTCCTTATCGCACGGTACGAAATTGGCGGAATTGAATAATATCCATCGCCCTCGCACTTTTTTTTATCTTGCCAAGAAAGAAATATTATTTTAAATGACGCTTCATTTTAATAGACGTTAGTAATTCATTTATTTGTATTTGTTAATCAATAATAATATACTACGAAAGGAACTTCGTTCCAACCGAGTGTTCCACCACACTCACGCATGTTTTCTTCTACAACTTATAATCAACTCAACTTCTTTAAAGTATTAGTGTAGACTAGTGATCGCCTCCGGTTTCGCCTGGATAGGATCTGTTAATATGGCTTTATTTGGATTTAGGATAATAATCGAAGACCATTTGTTTTATTCAAAAATAGTCTTCAAGTTTTTCGGATAAAATATAGCTTCGATCCTCCTGGTGGTGTTCTCTATTTGTTCGTAGTCAATCAGAAGCGGTTAAGTTTTTCCGTAGATTAGCCAGACAGACAAATATTTTAATTTTTTTAATTATATCTTAATAGCAAACAAATAACCACCTAAGCTTAATAGAAGCCAGTTATTTCAATATTACAGACAGACATTTAAATTTTACTTATAGATGTATAGATACCGGTTATGGAAAACAACTCAGCCATATCCTAAATCCACATAGCTATTTCACGTCATAAACCGATGCCTACATGGGTACATGTAGACATCGGTTGAAATTTAAAGCCAGGGTACGCTTTGTGATGGCCAGGTGATCTCGCATCGAGTCAAAAGCCAGGCAGTCACAGCTACTTACTACATTAATATTAATACTAAGTATATAAAATCTGTTGAAGGCGATGATTCATCATTTATAATTATTTATAAATATTGGTATTGGTTCTAGCCGGTATTCCAATCGGGGACAATATTTGGGTAGAGTGTTTCATACCGCTACGCGACCGGCATTATGTTAATGTGCCTAACTTAGTGTAATCACAGTACTATTGTAATTATATACTCTAAGGTGCCTAAGTATATGTACAAAAATGTAAACTAGAAGAGCTCTGATAGATACTCTACACATTTTCTATTCTATTTAATTTTTGAAAGTGCGATCATTTCTAAATACGAAATAATTTATTTTAAGGAAATGCATTACTTATTATAGTGACAAAATAATAGTTTTGTAATAATTTGGGCACTACAGATACTACAGAACATTGAAGTTTAGTAAGCTGTTTTTAAACGTACAGTTTTTAATTACTAATAAACGTATAAAGCGAAATGTTGGGCTTTGCAAAAATAATTAGTATGTTAGAGCTTTATGGTGTGTAAAGCAATAGGAATTGGCGTCTGTCGGTCGGGCCGATCCGCGAGGATGCTGCGCCTCCTAATTGTAAACAAGAGCTTTTTCGATTGGTAGGCGCTAACGCGCGTGCGTCTAACGACGTGAGCTTGAAGAAGCGGCTCGCGTTTTATTTTCCTATATTAAAGTTAAAAAAGTTACAGCCCATATGCGTCCCACTACTGGGCACAGGCCTCGTCTCATATCTGGGAGGGGTGTTTAAGGCAAGGAAATGTCCGCCGCGCTGGCCCAATGCGTGTTGTGGAACTTTTACATTTCTTCGAAATATTTTTTTTTTATTTCTCATACATGCAGATGTTTTCCTTTACCACCGTTCACGTGGTAAATCAGCACTTTATATTGCATTTAACAGTTTCATTTGTGTCGGCGGGGATCAAACCTAGGTTGCTCGCGTTTTTTATATTAGTTGATGAAAATCTAGTTATACATATTCTAGACGATAGAGTTTCTTTTATGCTTAGAAGACTGGGCAGCTACAATTTTCTAAGATATTTCTACAATTTTACGTATTTTTTTGTTACAGATTGAAAGATATAAAGTCAGTATAATTACAGATAGATATTACATCTTAGTACTCAAAGACGACAAAGCATATGCGACTTCTTTGCTTGGATTCGGATGCATGGACTGCAGTGATCGTCAAACTGCTAGGTTTTACTTTTATGTTAGTAACATTTTATAGATAATTAATGTTGTTAAGTAATTTATACATAAATCATATTCTTAGGCCCCGACTTCCTCATTCGTTCCACACCTGATTGTAAGTGACTACTGCCGCCCATGAACAACCGCAACACCAGGGGAATTGTACATGCGTTGCCGGCCTTTTGAAAAGGAGTAGGCTCTTTTCTTAAAGGTCCCTAATTCGTATCGGTCAGGAAAAATCGCTGGTGGTAATCGATTCCACAAGGGAGTTGTGCGAGGAAGAAAACATCTTCTAAATCGCACAGTGGTGGATAAAAAGTGTCAGTTACATCTACCCTAAGCGCAGACCAATTACTAAAGGTAATCAAGAAAACTGGAAAGAAGACTACATATGTTGGAACACAATAATGATTTGTATAAAACACATGAAAAATAAGGCAGGTATTTATGTAAAACATGGTGTTTTCTCTTGAATTGTATCACTGCATTTAATTTGATTATCAAAAATACGATATTATGATTTGTATATTATGTAGACGAAGATTTTTATTCAAAAACTGCATCCTAACTACCACGCGTTCTGCGCGTGATCATTGGTATTTACATTTATTTAGCAATTTTTTGTCGGTCACATTATCGAATCATCGAATATTTTGTGTAAATAATTGTCAGTCTCAATTTTATGCAATGATTTATTTACATAAAATTGTAACTTACAATTTTACTGACTCTGGCGGGAGCGAAAAAAACCTCATTTCTAATGATAATAATAAATGTTAAAATAGTGGATTGTAATGAAAAGGAAATTGACAATTTGCAAATATATAAAATTCATTTTAGATTTGAAACATTTGTAATAATATTTTAAAAAAAAACTTGCTTTGTGTTACGTTTATGCAAAGTAAAAGCAACATCATATAAAGCAAAGCCAACTTACTATAAAAAATAATATAGATAACCACCCATCTCATACGTATTGATTACAGATTGATAGTGTTTTCAGCGGAAAGTTACGGCATCGATCGTTACATTCAGCAGGGCCGCTTTTACAAAGTTAGACCATTGATCAGGAGCGGGGCATGGGTGCGGAAGGTGCGGGGGGGTGAGCGACGCGCGTGCGCGGGGCGCGTGGGGCGCGGGCGGCAGACGCGCCGCGATGGTGGGCCGCGACAGCCGCTCGGAGAGCGCGGCGCGCCCCTGGGCGCCGCGGCATGAGTAGCGCGCCCGCCCGGCCCGGCCCGTGCGCCCGCCATGGCGCAGGCCGCGCCCGCGCCCCATCGCACCCACTCCTTCGCCAAGAAGACCTTCCACAAGCCCACTTACTGCCACCACTGCTCGGACCTGCTGTGGGGGCTCATCGGCCAGGGCTACGGCTGCGAAGGTACGCCGCGCATGCGCGCCACGCGCATCGATAGCACCGCCCGCCGGCACGACCAGCGTTATGCAACGTGCCGGGCGTGGCCCCCGCCCCGCGCCCCCGATACCATCCTTACCATAATACCACCATCCCGACAAAACCCATCCGAAACATCTCGCTCTTGAATCCTCACACAACTCCGTTCATCCTTCAATCGGTATACGTGATATGTTTGAGGTCTCCATATCGATCTATTCATGTATTTCGCGCGAGGTTTTTCCGCGGGGCGGGGCGGCACATCTCCGCCTATCTAAATCGTGGTGATCCCACGCTGGTAGTTCAATCCGCCGCCGTGGTAAGTGATCATTACATTCGCGGAACGCCCACTTTTTTACTTTGAGTACCGCGAGGGCGAAAATGTTTTATTAGTTTCTCCGGCTTTACTACATTGCGATGACGCAGGATGTCATGTTTTCCTTGATGCAAACCTTAGAGTAATTATATAGATCTAGTAATTACTCTGAGATACAAACGTATTTATTAGCTTCTGTCATTGTAAAATCAATAACGTTACGTAGATCTAAACACATTGACGCTGTTGCATATTGTTGTGACTTATTCATACAATTATATTTCTTTATCTATTTTTCTCTATCCCGTCATTTTGATTTTCAGAAATATCATCAACACCACAGATTATGTATAGTTATGGGACTTTTTCCTCCTAACTTGTAATTAAATGTATTATAACAACTTTAATGAATTTTATTATACGCATTATCAACAGATAAAAACAATAATAATGTTTTCGGATATCCTAGTGCTTAAGTTAAGATTATGAAGTATTGGATTTTGTTGTTTTAAGCGCCTGTTTCGAACAAAATTATGCAGAATGTTATATAAAACATAAGTCAATTTTCTATTTCATTCATTGTATGTCAAATCAGCTATTACCTAAAACCACCAAACGTAGTAGATACTTAAATTAATTGTAGTGTTCACCTTGCAAGGAAATATGTAGCAATTTCACTAACTTTGTGTATCGTTGGTTAAGTTTCCTTGACCACGCCTTTACATGGTCAATATTCTTCTGTAAAATAAAGGGCTGTCACGGACTATCAGTTCAGTGATAGGTTATTTAAGAGTGAACTTAATTGCCAATTAGTAATTGAAAACAACCTATTCCGCAAAAAAATAACTAAAAGAGAATGAGATTTTTTTGTTAAGTCTTATATTTAAAAAATGCAAAAGAAAGGTCTTTAAAAGGTTTTTAAATGAAGGCTCGTAGATGTTATAATCGACATCAGAGATGGAGAAAGCTTTTAGTGCCAACAACAGGAAACTCCGTGTTAGACAGATCCCTTCAGTTGACGTCCTCGTCGAATAATGCAGGTTGCCTATGATCGCATTTTGGTAAATGTTAGCCCCTGATTAGGTCTGTTTAACAAATGAATGACCAAGGCCTACAGACTGTAAAAATAATTCGCTACTAAATGATAAGTATAATATATATAACTTAATTTTATTAAGATGCGGTATGGATTACGGTGCAGACTGCGAACTCAAATGTCGTGGTTTCGAACCCGCTTTTCGATTACAAACTATTTACAAAATTTATTTTAGTAACAGCTTGGAAGCGACCACTTCATTCCCAGGGGTTTTTATACCGTTTTTTTAATTAAATATTTGAACTTGGTAATAGAGAGAGCTTGTATATTTTCTTGGACTTTGTTGTAATAGCCCATACATTGCCCCAAAAATGAATTACTGACTCTGTAGAGTCGAAAGACCGGTATCACTAGTTTGTGTTTGTTCCTAGTGTTTACAGAGTGTATATGACTTTTTTTTTACTAAAACTATCTTTGTTTTTGTGAACATACATTACATTTTTCTAAATTAAACACCCCCCGCACCTCTCGCACCCGTGCCCCGCTCCCGATCAATGGTCTAATTTTCTCTAAGAGACTCTCTCGGTTTAACGTTGTAAATAGCTCTTATGGCCCTCTTCTGCAAAACAAAAATAGTTTCTAAATCAGCCGCATTTCCCCAAATCAAAATCCCATAAGCCATTATGCTATGGAAATAACTGAAATAAACGAATCTACTTGTCTCGACACTAGTGAGACCTCTAATTTTTTTTACATCATAGGCTGCAGAACTTGTCTACTTGCTAGTTTGGATATATGGGGATGGGATATATTGGATATTCAACAGAGCTCAGTTCTTCCCCATTCAAAAACACATTGGTACTCAGATTTTTAACATTCGTTGTTGTAAATTTAATAAATTTAGTTTATTGCCGTTTAAATGCAGAATATTAACGCTAAACCAATGTACAATATTTAGATAGCATTATTCACTTCGTCACATTTAAATGATAGACGTTTAAGTTTAAAAATCAAGGAAGTATCATCAATAAATAATACTATATCATGGTTATCCCCTACAAGGGAAAGTAAGTCATTAATATATACTAAAAATAGCAATAGGCCAAGAATCAAGTCCTGAGGGACACCCATCTTTACGGACGACCCGGAAGAACTTTTACCATTGATAATAACTTTCTGCATTCTATTACTTAAATATGAAATGATGAGTTTAAGCGCTGTGTTCTTGACACCATAGTACTGTAGCTACCTGATTAATGGCTCTTGGTGAACACAGTCGAAGGCCTTCGAAAGATCACAAAACACACCCAAAGCATCCTCTGAACTCTCCCATCCACAAAAAATATGTCTTATAAGTTCGACTCCGGCGTCGATAGTCGAGCGACTCCTTGTAAAACCAAATTGATTTTTATGAAGCAATTTATTTATATATAAAAAAAATTTAACATCTGATCTAAAATAAATTTTTCAAAAATTTTACTTAATGTTGGTACATAATAAACTTGCCGGTAATCAACTTTTGGATCTTTTTAGGATTCCGTACCCAAAGGGTAACCAACGGGACCCCATTACTAAACCTCCGCTGTCCGTCCGACTGTCTGTCAGCGGGCTGTATCTCATATTCTAAGAGAGCGTGGTCCTAGTGCTGCAGCCATAATACGACTTGCCTGGCTCTACTACCTATAAAATCTTATAAACTTTCGTATCTGAAAAAAAATCAAACTATTCTTGAGTCGTTCGTAGCTTGTAGCAGTACGCGTAGCGATGTGTCGGCGCTGTTCAAAGCTTCAAAGCTCTACTGTATTTGTGTGACAGGTAAATAAAGACAATAAAGGCGTAATAACAAAAATTATACAAAAATTAAACAATATTTAATATTAAGTTAGACTAGAGCAGGGAGTAGATAGCCTTTGTGTGTTCTACAGGATCCATTTCGTAACGTGTCCGCAATTTAGTCGGAGTTCATGTGTTAATTCCTCCCTCGCCTTTCCACAATCTGACGATCATAAAACAAAGTGTAAATAAAAAGAACTTGCGTGAGTGTCGTGGAACACTCGGTTGGAACGAAGTTCCTTTCATAGTATATTTCTATTGATAAACTTATTATATTATTGATTAACAAATACAAATAATTGAATTACTAGCGTCTATTAACATGAAGCGTCATTTAAAATAGTATTTGTTTCATGGCTAGATAAGAAAAAGTGTGAGGAAGATGGAAATCATTCCATCTCGTTCGCGTTATATAAAGGGGTTCGTGACGGAAAAATCTTACACTTTTTCTCGCCTCGTCCCCATCCGCCAAATTCGTACCGTGCGATAGGGAACTTCGTTGCAAAAACTGATATTTCTTTATTCAACTATTAGTAAGATGTCTTCTGCTTCACTGTCAGTAAAAAAAGGTCGCATTTTCTCTAGAGCTTTACATATTATATTCGAAGTGTTCTGCGCAAAATAACCGAAAACAAAAGTATCCACAGTAGAACTAACGTAACGTAAGACTGAAAACGGGATAGCCTACTGCTATCCGATGCTAGCCATTGCTGACCCTCTAATTATTTTTTTTAAACGGCTCCGTGGCGCAGTGGCTTAGCAATCAGTTGTTGCGCTGGGGGCCGCGGGTTTGAATCCCGCACGGAACAAGTATTTGTATGGCCTACAATTAATTGTTCCGGGTCTGGATGTTTGTCCTTGTGCAATTTATGTATGTAAACTGCCTCCACGACACAGGAGAAAATCCTAGTGTGGGGGTAACGTTTTTTAAAAAAAACCCTTTAATTAATAAATAAATAATTTCATTAGTCGTCAGTTTAATATTTAAATTACTAATTCGTTTACGAATTTCGCCGCGTATAGTCCACACATGAACCGATAGTTTAAGAAAACGGCACCGATACAGTTATTTCTCTTAATTAGTGAAATATGAAATGAGTCATCGTTGCGTTGTAATATTTCATTAGCTTGGCTGCCTCTGATATCAACTCTAGTTAACGTAATCTTGATGAGAACTAGAGACAAGATATCGATATAGCGTCTACGCTTAGGCCGCGCGTTCTACACAAAAGCATTTCCCCTCTCTACTAGAAGATCAATGTCATATCGTCGGTACGCTTAGTTCTTTAAAAACTTCTTTAAATATTCCGTGAGGATCTGAAACCGATTTAATATTTATAGCGAATGCTTCGGATAACGTATTTAACCGTGACAAGACAACCTGTACTTTTTTATATGAAATTACGTAAAATAAAACTCAACCGTTGAATTGGATTAAAATTTGAGCGAGATCGCCACATTATACATGAAATTTTCAACTTTTTTTTTTATTACGTACCTAATACTCCACCATGCCTGTCACTAAATGGGAAGTTGATAGTATTTTGGAGAGAAATCTTATAATTTCGTTTTTTACTTGTATTGTCTCAGGTACATAATTTCTAAGACCTGGCGACAACAACCGATATGGTACGAGATTTAACAAGGTAACAAATAGTAATATAACTTAATATTGTGACATCAAAAGCTCTCCCTCTGGACATCTCGAATATTCGATATTCGGAATGGTTCGGCAGCCTCGGTATGCCGGGATGAAACTCGGCATTTTGGTTGAATATATTTCTCTTTTTCTTCTGCGGGAAC